GAATCGAATCGAATCTCTGAGTATTCGCTTTGATTCGATTCGTTTACAACCCTACTGTCCACGTTCGAGAAGAAGGACACCAACAAGCACCTATCTACTATGTCAGTAAAGCTCTACATGATGCCGAGGTCCGGTATCCTCCTATGGAGAACCTTGCTTTTGCCTTAATAACAGCAGCCCGAAAACTACGACCCTATTTTCAAGAACATTCCATAGTAGTTCTTACCTCATATCTTTTGAGGCATATTCTGCATCGACCCGATACTTCGGGAGAATGGTCAAAGGGGCAACTGAACTCAGACAGTTCAACATTCAATACAAGCCGAGAACAATTAAAGCCCATGTTCTTTCAGACTTTATCGTCGAATTTACCCCAGCGATTGAAACAACAAGAGATAAACAACCCAGGATTCTGCATGTAGATGGATCTTCGACTGCACATCGAGCTGGAGGTGGTGTAGTTTTAACTAATTCGGAGAATCAAATCTTCTGCCATTCAGTCAGGTTCCTATTTCCAGCAACCAATAATGAAGCCGAATACGAAGCTTTAATCTGCGGTCTTAACTTAGCAGAATCCATGAACATGACTTTACTCAAAGTTTTTCTTCGACTCACAGCTCTTAGTGAACCAGGTGAACGGAGAACTTGAAGTGAAGGAACCTCGGCTAGCGTCATATCTAACATTAACTAAGAAGAAGCTCGCTAAATTCGATGCAAACATGGAACATATCCCCAAACCTCCAATGTTTGGGCTGATGCCCTCTCGAGGTTAACAACAAACACTGACATGGAGAGCATTGAATACATTCAAGTCGGCCAACAAGAGAAATCATCATTTTCGACCGATGAAATCATGCATGTTGAAGCAAGTTCACAGAAGAACCATCCGACTTGGATGGGTCCTATCATTTCTTACTTGAAGACTGGGGCCTTACCATTTGACCCCAAAGAAGCTCGGTCCCTTCGTATCCGAGTAGCTCATTCTACTCTCGACAATGACGTGTTATATAAGAGAGGATACTCAATTCCTTTGCTGAAGTTCTTGAGTGAACGAGAATCCAAATACGTTCTTGAAGAAGTCCACGAAGGTGTCTGTGGAACTCATCTCGGAGCACAAGCTCTAGCTTACAAAATCCTAGGACAGAGATACTACTGTTGGTGTTATATACTTAAGCTTTGCTTTGGTGGATAATACACTTGTTATTCCT